GCGCGCGGGGGCCCCGGGGGTCGGGGGCTCGCGGGTCCCGGGTGGGGTCCCTCCCGTCCGGGCACGCTTGATTGAGTTCCCCGGGACTTCTGAAGTTGCAAGCCGCGCCGGACTGTTGGGTTTCCCCCTGGCTTCAGTATTAATCCAGGAGGGAGCGAATGAATGAATGAATGAATGAACAAAGTCGGCCCTTCCTGGTTTGGCTGTGTCCTCCTCGCTCCTCTGGACATTGGGGTTTTTTAAAACCCTGTGAAAGGCGAGGGGGGTTGGACTGAGCGGTCCAAGATGCCTTTCGTCCTCCCCTAATTTCTTACTGCTCTTTAATACTGCACCGGTGTTCGTCCTTAATGCATTAACTCGTTAATTACTCTGCCAGGCCCTGGGCCAGCTCTGGCAATCGATGGGGAGGAGGGGGCTGGAAGGGCGTTCCCGGAGTTTCCTGGTGTCCCCAGGCTGGACAAAAGCACGAGTGACCTGAGAATGGCACAGCCTGGCAGCGGCAGAACTGACTGAGGGGTCCCCTCTCTCCCCCTCCAGCACCAGCAGGCACCATGTGGATCCAGGTTCGCACCATGGACGGGAAGGTGACCCACACCGTGGACTCGCTGTCCCGGCTGACCAAGGTAGAGGAGCTGAGGAGGAAGATCCAGGAGCTGTTTCACGTGGAGCCCGGCCTGCAGAGGCTGTTCTACAGGGGCAAGCAGGTAAACCCGCCCTGCAGGCTGCCCGCCCGCCCGCCACCTTTGTTCTTGCCTCGTCCAGGCACCGCATGTCCACTGCTCCCCCCTCGTCCTGTCCCGCTGCACGTCTCCACAGAAACCTCCAGTGCTGAGCCAGGAACAAAGGCTCACTCGCAGGCTGACACACCGGGTGGGCAGCCGGCACCCGAGGCACCGGCGTCTGTAGCGTTTGGGCTCTGTAACTCCCTTCTTTATTTTTGAAGCTCCCCTCAGAATAATTCCTAGAAAAAGAAGTTAGAGGTGGCCGACAGGGCTGATGCATTTCAAGGAAGAGCCCAGAATCGGTTATACACCAGGACGCAAGAGACCGGGTTTTTCTTTGAAACACACAGCGATGGCCCACAGCCTGCGCCTAGTTAGCATTAGCCCCTGCAGGCTCTGGCTTCTAGAAATTTGGATCAGCGTATTCAGAGGCCGGAGATGGTGTTGGGTGATCAGAGATTTCCTCCACTCTGGGCCTGCTCTCCAGCGGGGCTGCCCGGGAACGGGGGGCTTCGGCTTTCCGCGGGGTCTGCTGGCCCTCTCCTGTCTCCTTTCCTTGCGCTCTCTCCCCGGCCCCTTGTTTGAGCCGTTTAAAATGGCCACCCTTGCTGTCTCAGCTGCCCACGTTTGGGATGCTTTCTTCAGTGGCACGGAGGGGTTTCCATTTTTGTCGGTGTCTTTGGGGGGACGGTGGGACCTACTGCGAGTGGGATTTCCAAGGTGGGGTACAATGGTAAGACAGAGAGTGTCGCCCCCGTCTGCTGGGCTCGTCCTGGAGTTGGTGGCCTGTAGGGACAGCGGAGAAGAGACGACTGGATTAAAAAGTCTTCAGTTGGGCTGTGTGTGTGCCCGACTTCGTTGTTGTCGCATTTTGGACTGGAGACTGCCGCCATCTGGTGTCTAGATTGGAAAGTAAACGCCCCGCGCTGGGCCAGGATTTTTGGGGGCTGGGAGGATCCTGTGCGCTTACCCGAAAAGAGAGCTGATGATTAATTTCTCGGGCTTGTGGTGCCCTTGGAGAACTTGAGCCTCTTCCTGTGAGAGCGACGATGACTTGAATGTCTTAAGAATCTGAGTGTCCCCGCCCCGCCTGGGGAGGGGAAGCCAGCCCGCGGACTTGGGGATTTGACTGTGCATTCGCGGGCGAGCTGAGAAAAGCCGGGGTGCTGTCTCTCCCGCCTCCTCCGACGGTGGCTCATTTTCGTGGCATCCAGACTGATGTTGATTTGCCACTCAGTCTGTCTGTTCAGCAGAAGGCCCTTCCGCGGTTTCTGGAAACCTCTGGCGTGTGGCTGCTGAACAGTTCTCGGCATAGTGCAGAGGCGGGTGGGATCAGGTTCAAGGGAGCGATCATTTTTGAGCGCCAGCTATGTGCCAGGCGCTGTGCGTTTTAATTTTTACATTTCAAACGCAGAAAAGTTGCAAGAGCCCCGAACACTTTAACGTCACCCCGTAGATTTTTACCAGCAACATTCTGCGTATTCGCTTTACCACGTAGCATTCTTTCTGTCCTCTGTCCGTCCACCGATCCGTCTTATTTTGGGGATACATTTCAAAGTCAGTTACAGACACTAGTTCGCGTCACCCTAAGACGCCTCAGCGTGCCCGTCCTTAACTAGAGTTCAATATTTGTTTGTGGTTCTTGTTTCTTTTTAGGTAAAACTTGTGTGTAGTGAGAGAGACACAGCTTAAGCGGAGTAGTTGGCGTTTTGACAAGCGTCTACACCCGCGTAACCGATCCCTTGTCTTCCTTCATTTGTAGCATAGTATTCGGTCCACGTAAAAGCCTTCGTAGCATCTGTGTCAGTTATCAAGCGTGGCGATGACAGGAACACCGATGTGCGTTAGACGCATCCATCGTGCCTTCAGTCGTCAGGATGTTGGTTATCAGAGACACTGTGGCTTTGTTAGTTCTCGGAAGGTCCCATCTTCCCGTGTAACCTCTGTAACTGCTGCGCCTTCTCCCTCCCGGTGCTCCTTCCCGCTCGGCGGCTTTGTGAGGGAATGCGGAGTCGTTTCTGTCTTCCGGTAAGGAAGCCAGGCCTCAGAGCGTGATGCAATTTCCTCAAGGTTGCTCGGCCGCCCGGGGGTGTGGACAGTGCCGGGAGGGTGGGGGACGAAGGCACACAGCAGCAGCCGCAGCTCCGAGCCAGCCAGTCAAGCCTGCAAACAGACCTGGCTCATGGCAGTAGGAAGCAGCGCCGTTTCCAGCGGGTGCAAGAGAGCGGTTGTTTTTCCAGAATGTTCTAGAATGTTCATGATCTTTTTTTTTTTTCCCCCTCCCTTTTTAAAGAAACGGCATTGCAGTCCCGGGTCTGCAGTGAGGTCGGCTGAGACGCTAAAGCAGAACACAGTTGAGTCTTTCTTCAGGATATGGGAGGGTTTCGTGGCTGGCTTGTTTAGGCTGAATAGGTTGGCGGTTATGTCGCTTGATTGGCGGAAATGCAGAGACGAATGGGGGAAGGGACTTCGGGCGGCAGGCCCAGCCTGGGCAAGGGCGACAGGCATCTGGCGCTTTTTTTTTTTGGCTGCCCATAAAGATAACAATAGCTGTCATTTGTGGTGCCTTTAATACCCAGGTACAATGCTTTGCACTTGACATAATCTTCTCCAGTGGCCTGGTCCACTGGCTCTGGCCGGTGACTCGGTCTGTGATTTCACGCCAACCCCCGCGGGCTAATTGTGGACCCGCCACGTCCTGGCACGGCGAGAATTCGGGGGGGTGGGTAACGGACAGGAAGGGCTGAGCCCGTGCCTGGCTCAGTGAAGACTCGATAGATCAGCTCGGAGTCTCCCCCTCGGCATGGCTGACATTGGGGCCGGATCATTCTGGGGGGGGCGGTGTCCTGGGCACCGTGGGGGGTTGAGCAGCATCCCTGGCCCCACCCACTCAATGCCAGGAGCTCCCCCACAGATGTCCCCAAACATCACCAGTGTCCCCTGGGGGGCAGTCGCTTCTAGTTGAGAACTACTAATTTAGTAGACAGTTTACTTTGGGAAAACAGCTCAAGAGGCTGTGTTGAGGTCAGTCGGAAAGATCAGTTGAGATGGTGGCCTTGCGAGGATCGCTCAGGTCACAGTGCCCCTCCCCCCCCCAACGTCCCTGCTGCATTGGCCTTTTCTGAACGCCGACCGTGTTGTCCCGAAGGGCAGGGTCGGGCGGCAGATACGACGGCCCCCTCCCAGAGACCCGTCCTTCAGGCTGCGTGAGGGAGGGTCCCCTTCCCTTGAGAGCTCCCAGCTGGGGGGCACGCCCTCCAAGCCAGGGGTCAGCAAACCCTCTCTGCAAAGGGCCTGATAGTAAACAGTTGTCTCCGTGGGGACAGCTCGGCTCTGCCACCGGAGCTGGAGAGCGGCCATAGACGGGGCGCAAATGAATGGGCCTGTCCCACGCGAGTCCCCGTAAAACTTTATTTACGGAACAGCTGTAGTCCAGAACCGTCATGCTGGCTGTGGGGTGTGACTTACACCCCGAGCTTCCATCTGGCCTCTCGGGTGTGTGCTTCCAGGTTTTACTGTTAGGAACGGCGTTGCCGTGGAATGTGCTGGAACAGGTCCCCCGGGGCACTGTGTTGCAAGAGCTTTTCCGGGGCAGGAGCTCTCACGCTGGTCTCAGGGCCCCTTTCCACCCTCCAAAGCGGTGGGGGGACCCCGGAGAGCTTTTGTGGCTGTGGATGGTGTTGTTTTTCTTGTATTAGAAATCGAAAGCCAAGGAGATTCCAGCCTGAGGGGACACGTGCGCACGTCCCTTTGGGTGTCAGAACCGTCGTGTCGTCTCACATCATGTAGGATCTGGGGTCTCCTCTGTACCCCCGTGAGCCCGTGAGAGTGAAGATGGCAGGTAACATTGTGGTGTCATTGTGACAATAGTTTGAGCCTCGTGGACCCCAAAATGCCACTCCAGGGCGTATTCTCAGCTGTGGCCCTGCAGGGTCAAAGGGCAGAGTTCAGTGGTCACCCTCTGTGTGTGTGTGTGTGACAGGCTGGGGATGTGAGGGAGGGATTGTACTGTGCACTCTGCCCCCCCGGAGGGAAGTTGTATCCCCTGTGCCACGTCGGGGATCCTGCTCCGTGCGTTTTCCCCCCGTCTCTCTGTCCGTCTGTCTGGCCGGCCTGCACCTCCGGGTGCTGCAGAGGCTGGAGGCCGAGGCGGGAAGGTGGGGGGCCGGGCCGCACCCCCGGAGAGAGAGCCAGCGTGGTTTTCTCTTCCTTTTTGTCCTGCACGCCCAGCCCGTCGGGCCCTCATAAGCGCCCCCTTCCCCTCGGCTGTTGGTCCATCGTGGTCCAGGGCGCACACCGCCCTCCCTGAGCCCCCCGTGTCCCCGGTTCCTGTCCCCTCCACCTCTCGCTGAAATTGCTGCCTCTCAGCCGACCCAGGAACCCCACTCGCAAACCCAGTGGCATTCATTTCCTGCCTCTGGGCCGCGCTGAGCACCCTGAGAAGCTTCCCCCGAGATGTCACAGGGGCAGAGAGCGGCAGAAACAGCTGGCACGGCGGGCTCGTCGTCCCAGTTTCCAAAAGGAGCCGTTGTGCTCGCTTGTCACGTCGTATGTGTGTTGCTGTAGCTTTCACACGATGTGCATGGTGCAGAATCCCAGGTGTCCAGCAAGCACACTGGGGTTCAAAAAGAGAAAGAGATGTAATTGCAATGCCGTGGGCACTTGTGCATTTAGGCCTGAATCTGCTGGACGGGGTATCTGCCCCAAACTGTAGGCAATCTAAGGGATTTTCAGCGGAAACTTTGGTTTTATAGGATTTTAACATCGGGTTTCATCTAAATGTTAGAACCTCTGGCATTAGATGCAGCTCACTGTCATTTAGGTTTTATGTCTTTTATTAATGTTCATAGCCTCTGATGGAATTTTAGGATCTTGATCACGAACCCAGACTTAGAATGTTCTGTCACCGCACAGAGAACACATTAGCATGGGGCAGCCCTGGCCCAGCCTCTCCGCCTGTGGTTCCTGAAGGTTCGTGCACAGCTTTGGGCAAGCACGATGCGGGGAGAGGGGCCCGCGACACACACCTTCTCGCCGTAGCAAACAGCTGTGCAAGCTGCTCTCTGCTGACCGCGGGGCCCTTCTGGAAAGTTCCAGAAGCAGCCAGACCAGCTCGCTCGTGAGTTACATTCTGGAGGCGGAGCCCCGGGCTGGCCTGGCCCAGCCTGCATGCCCCTTCCCTGCCCACGGCCTGCCCTGTCTGAGCCTTGTTCTGGGCCCTTCCACCAGGGGGCACACCAGCCTGGCTTTCTGCCCTGCTGTGGACGCCTGGGGCTTGATGGGGGGAGGTGTTGTGGGTAGAAAACACCAGGAGAGAGGAGCAGGGGGGGCTGCAGCCCACTCCCCCACTGTTGCATCAGGCTCCACCGGAACCCGCATCGGGATTCCTCCTGCCACGGTCGTCCTGGCCACACCAGCCGTGGCCCCTGGGCCGGTCCCGACCCTCGCTTCCCCTCACCCTCCGTACCCCCAGCTCCGTTCTGGGGCGTCTTGCCTCCTCCCTTAGCTCTGTCCCTCTCCCCAGCCCGGCCTCCACCCCCGTGTCCCTCCCGGCCCCTGCCCCTGCCCTGCCCGTCTGTGGTCCAGGTGGCTCCGCATCTCCTGTCCCCTGAAACCATCCTCGTGTCCCTCGATGTGCTTGGGCGGTGCGTCTGTTTCAGTTGTCACGCACAGCTGTGTGACGTTCCTTTGTACGAATAAGCCACAGTTTGCTTGCAAATACGTTGCCGTGAACATAGTGTGAACACCGGTGTGCGTGTCCTTCAGGCGCACGGGTGACAGTCTCTCTGGCTCTGTGGTCCTCTCTGGGGGCAGTTCTGCCCCACTGGGGACACTTGGGTGTCTGGGGACATTTGTGGTTGTCACAACTGGGGGTGTTCCTGGCATCCACTGGGTAGAGGCTGGGGGTACTGCCCAGTGCCCCACAGAGCCCAGGACAGCCCCCCACAGAGAGTGACCCGGCCCCGAGTGTCCGCAGTGCTGAGGGGGGTCTGCCTGGCCATGGAGGTGCCGGACCCCAGGGTGCGGGTGTCTTGTTCATCCTTCTTAAGGCCATTTGGCTTGCCCTCCGCTGCCCTCCCTGTCACTGTTACACTGGGGACAATTGTCTCTCTCCATGTTTGTAAATCAGTTAACTTCACTTTTTAGGGCAGTTTTAGGTTCGCAGCAAAATGAAGAGGAAGAGACAGACATTTCCCGTATACCCCCTCCCCCAGGTGCTCGGCCGCCCCCATTATCCACTCCCCCCACGCAGGGTGCGTTTATTACCATCGATGAACCTACATGGACACATCATCGTCATCCAGAGCTGACATGAGGGGTCACTCCTGGCGTTGTATGTTCTGTGGGTTTGGACAGACGTAGAATGCCATGGATCCACCATCGTGGGATCACACAGAATAGTGTCACTGCCCTGAAAATCCTCTGTGTTCTGCCTGTTCATCCCGCCCTCCCCCCTACCCCCACAACCTCTCATCTACTTACTGTCTCCATAGTTTTGCCTTTTCCGGAATGTCCTAGAGTTGGAATCATATGTATGGAACCTTTCCAGATTGACTTCTCTCCTTTTTTTTTTTTTAAAAAAAACAGCTTTATTGAGAGATCAATTACACACCGTATAATTCACCCATTTAAAGTATGCAATGCAGTGGTTTTCGGTTTATTCAGAGATTTGCAACCATTACCGTTGTCTAATTCCAGAACATTCCATCACCCGAAAAGAAACCCATCCCTGTTAGCAGTCACTCCCCAGCTCCCGACAAACGTGAACCCACTTCCTGTCTGTGGATGTGCCTGTTCTGGACATTTCACATCAGTGGACTCACACCACGTGGCCTTTTGTGTCTGGTTCTCTCACTGAGCATTGTGTGTTCAGGGTCCATCCACGGTTTGGCTCTGTCAGGGCCTCACTCCTCTTCATGGCTGTGTCATATTCCAGTGTGTGGATGGACTACATTGTGTGGATCCATCATCCATCAGGGGACACTTGGGTTGTTTCCACCCTCAGGCTACTGTGAACATACGTATACAGGTTGGCTTCTCTCTTCCTTCCCATCCGTGTCACCTCGGTGGTGTCCCGGCTGTCCTGTTTTGGCCCCATGTTGGCGGGCTGGCGCCGTGTCTCATCCTCCCGGGCCTCCCATGGTCCCCAGGCACATCGGAGCCTCTCTCGTTGCTGGGTGAACAGGTGGATTGGCCCTGGACGTCCAGGGCAGGATTCAGAGGGCCCTGGGAGCCCCCGAAGCTGTAGACGAGTGTCGGATGCGTTGTTCTGGGGGTGAGGGGTCATCATCCGCCAGATTCTCAGGTTTGTGATGAGTAGACTGCTGTGAAGGACCTTGGACCCTGGAACCTGCCTTCCCTGTGACCCCGGGGCTGTTTGTGTATTCATGGTAGCCAGCCCTTTGAACCACCCTTTGAACTGCCAATTTTTGTAAAAATTGGGAAGGAGGGAAAGTTGATCTTTTGTGTATCTGTCCCTCTCTCTTCTCCCTGTTCTTCAGGGGGCTGCTTCTGAACCAGGGCATTCTGCCTCCAGGGGACATGGGGCCGTGTCTGGGGACGTCTGTGGCTGTCACACGGGGGAGCTCCTGGCATCCAGTAGGTGGGGGCCAGGGATGCTGCTCAGCCCCCACAGCGCCCAGGATGGCCCCACAGAGAATGATCCAGCCCCTGTGTCTGCAGTGCTGAGGGCAGAGACCTGCTTTGGGGACATCTGGGTAGAACAAAATGCCCTTGAGGGTCCTTGTCGGTGCTGGTGGGGGGCCATGGCACAGTTTCTAGTAAAAGATGACCCCTTGGCCTTCTGTGCATAGGGATGCGGCTCAGAAGACAGACTCCGCCTACGCCTGCCGGGTCTCACCTGGGGGTGCCGATCTCGCAGTCTCCCCGTTCAGCACGTGACTATGGGTGGACTCGGGATAAAGGCGTTGACAGAGAGGGGTGGAGTTAATGGATCAGAAAGGCTGCCTAGGAGATGAGATCAGAGCTGGAGCCTTATGGAGGAAGCTCATGAGCATCGGTGGGGGGATGTCTCCTTGGGTTCCCGTGGACCAGGGGTCTGCCCCCCGGCACTGGGGACATCAGCCCGGGTCACTCTCTGTGGGGCTGTCCTGGGCGCTGTGGGGGGTTGAGCAGCATCCCTGACCCCACCCACTCGATGCCAGGAGCACCCCCCCATCGTGACAACCACCAATGTCCCCAGACGTGGCCCCGTGTCCCTGGGGGCAGGATCACCCTTGATTGAGCACGTTCACATAAAGTATTAAGGAAACCTTCTCTGACCCCCGATGCGTGTCCACCACATGGCGGGGTCATGCTGTGTGCTCACCATGTGACCCAAGGCGTCCTTGTTCAAGAGGGTCTGGGGACACCGTGTGCACCCCCAGGAGTGGACAGGCTGTATTGGCCCACAGTCTGTTCTAGATCATGCGCTTCGTGAAGGCAGAGGGAGGCCTCTGCTCACGGCCTCTGCTCACGGCGTGTCCCGCACTCAATGTCTGTCCATGAGTGACCTTTGTCCCGCTGTGTCTGCAGATGGAGGACGGCCACACCCTCTTCGACTACGACGTTCGCCTCAACGACACCATCCAGCTCCTGGTCCGGCAGAGCCTCGTGCTCCCGCCCAGCGGCGGTGGCAGCAAGGAGCGGGACTCCGAGCTCTCCGACACGGACTCCGGCTGCTGCCTGGGCCAGAGCGAGTCAGACAAGTCCTCCAACAGCGGCGAGGCGGACGCGAAGGCGAGCTTGGCGGACGAGGATGCGTGGGACGAGACCGAGCTGGGTCTCTACAAGGTGAGGCTCCCGCGGAGGGTTGGGATTGGCCGTGCCCCCCGCCTGGCCGGCCTCTGCACCCCCGGGGAGCACTCCCCACGCCCCTCCATCATCGCTCGCCCCCCAGCCGCAAGCTCATGAGGTCAGGCCGGGTCCCCTCCATCACTGTGGCTGGGCACCCTGGTCCTGCCGTGAAACTCCCCTGAATGTTCCTTGGCGGGAACACACAGTTCCCCAGAGATTCCTTCCTGATCCCTAAAGCAGAATCCCATGTCCCGGGCTGCAGTGTCTTCTGTGGCCCTTACAGTGCCTGTAAAATACAGTTCTGAATTCACTGCCACCCTCTAAGAGCATGAAATTCCACATAAAGAAAGTTTCTCTGGAAAAGTGGTTTGTTCTGGCCTCCCTGGGCCGCATGACAGGCGATTCTGCCCCCAGGGACATGTGGCAACATCTGGGGACATGTGTGGTTGTCACACTGGGGGTGGTTCTGGCATTGGGTGGGCGGGGGCCAGGGATGCTGCTCAGCCCCCCACAGTACAGAAAGCCCCTCATAGGCACCGTATAGGTGGGTTTGCACCCTAGTCCTAAAGCCCTCGGTGCCCCAGAACCACACCAGGCTCTTGGCAGCTCTGCTGATCACGTGCTCCTTCCCCGGGTCGATGAGAGAGTGTTCCTTTCCCCTCAGGTCAACGAGTACGTCGATGCTCGGGACACCAACATGGGGGCGTGGTTCGAGGCGCAGATTGTCAGGGTGACGAGGAAGGCGCCGTCCCAGGACGAGCCCTGCAGCTCCACTGCCAGCTCGACGCCGGAAGAAGACGTGGTTTATCACGTGAAATACGACGAGTGAGTCATGGTGGGTGGGCAGGTTGGGGGACCTGGGGCGTTGGCTCTGTCTGTCTGGGACCCGGAGTTCGGGACTGCCTTGGGGACGGTGATCAGGATTCGGGGGCCCCCACCCCTATTGTTCGGTTGTATGTCTTTCATACCACGCATCACCGTATGAAACCTCGTTATGTGTTTGTAATCTGTCGCCTACTAGAACGCACAAGTATCTATTGAGTGCTTACTGTGTGCCGGGCCTGTGAACGCAGAGAGTGTCTTACTCAGCATCCCATCATGGGGGGGGACTGAAACATCAGACGTTTATTCTCTCACAGTCCTGGAGGCTGGAAGTCCAAGTTCAAGGTGTCAGCAGGGTTGGTTCCTGGTGAGGGCTCTCTGCCTGGCTTGTAGATGGCTGCCTTCTCACCGTGTCCTCACGTGACCTCTTCTCTATGTGCACGCAGAAAGAGAGAGAGCTCTGGTGTCTCTTCCTCTTATGGGGACACCAGTCCCATCAGATTAGGGCCCCAGCCTGTGACCTCATTTAACCTTGCTTGCCTCCCTAAAGGCCCTCTCTACAAATGCAGTCATGTTGGGGGTTAGGGCTTCAATATATGAATTTGAGGGGGGACACAATTCAGTCCATAGCAGAGGGCAAGCTTGTCCACCCGCAAGGAACTCACATTCTAGGGTGCACAGGCCCTTCATCCGATTCTCTGCTGGGTCCCTCCTGTCTACACCAGTTTCTGGCACATCCTCATGCTTAGCTCTGTAAAAGTGACTGGAGTAATCAGATGAGTGAATCACAGTAAGTGGAAGATTTCCATCCTTTTCGTTAGGGGTTGCAAACTCGGCCCTCGGGCCGAATCCGGCCCACCGCACGTCTTTGTAAATAAAACTTTATCCAGACACATCAATGTCCACTCGTTTACATATTCTCTGTGACTACTTTCTTGGTAATAGCAGACTTGAGTATTCATACAAAGACCTTCCAGCTCAGAAAGCCGAAAATATTTGCTGTCTGGCCCTTTACTGGAAAAGTTTGGCAACCCTTGTTCTTGGTGATTTACTAGCAAAAATAACGAGCGCCAAGCGATACAGCTGGTCTTAATAGATTTAGGATTGTCCCCCTCACAGTTGAGGTTTAACTTTGTTGTTGATAGAACACTTTTAGCCCAATTATTTTATGCCTTTTTTGAGGCTGCTGGTATATCCAGCATAATCCAGCGTATCCAGAATAATGACTGCCTATTGTATCCTAATATTCAGTGTATTATATTTACATAAACGAAATAACATACGTCCCTCTACAAAAATCACTTTTAATACATGCATGTGGAAAAAGTTTAAGTTTTTTCCTCCCCAGATTTCCTTCTGGATTAATTTCCTAGGGCGGCCATAACGAAGTGCCACAGACTGGCTGGCTTATGATGAGTTTATGCTCTCACACTTCTGGAGGCCAGAGGTCCAAAGTCGAGGTGTCGGCAGGGCCGTGATCCTTCCGTAGGGGAGCATCCTTCCTGCCTCTTGCAGCCTCTGGTGGTGGCCCGCGGTCCGCGGCTCGTGGCGGCATCCCTCCAGTGTCTGTCCCCCTTCACATGTCTGTGTCCTCTCTGTGTGTGCGTCTCAGTCTGTCTTCTCAGAAGAGCACCTGTCACTGGATTTGGGGCCTACTCTGCTCCAGTGCGACCTCATCTTAACTTGATTACACCTGCAGAGACCCTATTTCCACATAAGGTCCCCTTCCCAGGTACAGGGGGTTAGGACTCCAGCATATCTTTTTGGGGACACATTCCAAGCCATGACACGCTCCGTATTGGAACGTGTCTTCCATACCTGAGTATTTTTGATGCCAGCAAATGAGATAATCAGGGACGGGATTTGACGAGCAGCTGTGATGGGAGTGACCCAACCCCGGGTCGTGTGCGTCCTTTTCCGCCTCGACTTCCGTCTCCCGTGGAGGGAGTGAAGTCGATGGGACCGCAGGGTCTGAGGATGGGCTTTTCTTTCCTCCAGCTACCCGGAGAACGGAGTGGTCCAGATGAGCCCCCGGGACGTCCGGGCTCGCGCCCGCACCGTCCTCAAGTGGCAGGAGCTGGAGACGGGCCAGGTGGTCATGCTTAACTACAATCCCGACAACCCCAAGGAGCGAGGCTTCTGGTATGATGCGGAGATCGTGCGGAAGCGTGAGACGCGGACGGTGCGGGAGCTGTACGCCAACGTCCGGCTCGGGTGAGTGAGGCGGCGGGCCCTGGCGAGGCCCTGGGCCTCCACCTGGCCTTCCTGCCTCCCCTCTGGGGCTCCACTCCTCCCTGCTCGCCGCTGGTGATCTTTCTGCTCTGACCACCTCACGGGACTGCCCGGGGAGCCCCAACAGACCGAGATGTCAGGCTTCCTTCTCTTTTATTTGTTGTTTTAGATTTGCCAAATAGGTAATACATTCAAATGTGTCAAAATCCAGAAAGTACCAAACGCCACTCAGTGAATATTCTCCATCCTCCTCTGTCCCCTGGTCACCCAGTTCTCCTTTCTGGAGACATCACTCTTTCCGTCACCTTCCAGGGACGTTGTGTGCATAAACACGCACATAAATAAAGACAGCACACACATGGGGTGCGCTCCACATTGGGGATCAGCAGACCGCAGTCCACAGGTCAGATTCGGCCCCCTGCCTGTTTGGGCAAATAAAGTTTTATTGGCACACAGCCACGTCCATCTGGTTATCAATTGTCTGTGGCTGCTTCAGAGTGACAAGGGCAGAGTTGAGGAGTTGGGAGAGGGACCATGTGGCCTGCAAAGCTGAGAATATTTGTTGTCTGGCCCTTTGCGGAAAATCTTTGCCAAGTGCTGTTCTCCCTTCTGTGTATGTGTGTATTAAAGTGTAAATAATAGAAGACTTACCATCTTAACCATTGCTCAGTGTACAGTTCAGTGGCATTATGTCATTCACACTGTTGTGCAACCATTGCCACTATCCGATTTCCAGAACTTTCTCACCTTCCCAAACAGAAACTCTATCCCCATTAAACACTGACTCCCCGTCCCCTCCCCCAGCCCCTGGCCCCACCATCCACTTTCTGTCTCTGTGGCTGTGACTCCTCTAGGGGCCTCCTGTGAGGGGATCACACAGTGTCTGTCTTTCTGTGTCTGGCTCATGTCACTGACCATTATGTCCTCAAGATTCATCCGTGTTGTAGCAGGTGTCAGAATTTTCTTCCTTTTTGTGGCTGAATAATAATTCCGCTGTACGTATCATATATATATACACGAATATCTGGGCAATAGTGTTCTAAGCACAGGCCCAGCAAGTGCAGAGGTCCTGGGGCAGGGCCCTGCCTGGTGCATTTGTGGCCTAGCAGGGAGGGTAGTGGGCTGGAGTAGAGGGAAGGAGGAGTTGAGACTGGAAGCCTCCACGCATCTGGGCATTGAGAACAGATGCATGGAGTAACATGCATCTTGAGGTAACAACTTAGACTACTGATGTGAGATTTTCCTCTTTTCTAATGTAAGCATTTAGTGCTATGAATTTCCCTCTCAGCGCCGCCTTACCTGCCTTTCACGTATCTTTGTTGTGCTCTATTTTTCTTTTTATTCAGTTCTGTTTTTTTCTTTCCTTTGAGACTTCCTCTTTGGCTCCTGGCTTATTTAGGAGCGTTGTGTTTAATTCCCAAGCGTTTAGAGATTTTCACATTGTCTTTCTGTTACTGATTTCTTTTTTTTTTTTTAAGATTTTTTTTTATTTATTTATTTTTCCCCCAAAGCCCCAGTACATAGTTGTCTGTCATAGCTGTACATCCTTCTAGTTGCTGTATGTGGGACGCGGCCTCAGCACGGCTGGAGGAGTGGTGCCTCGGTGCGCACCCGGGATCCGAACCCGGGTCGCCGGCAGCAGAGCGCACGCACTTAACCGCTAAGCCACGGGGCCGGCCCACTGTTACTGATTTCTAATTTGACTTTATTATGGTCAAGGAACATAATCTATATATTGATTACATTCTTTCTAAATTTGTTGAGGTTTGCTCTACGGCCCAGAACAGGGTCTGTCTTGGTGAATATTCCATGGTTGCTTGAAAAAAAAAGGTATATTTTGTTGTTGGGTAGAATGTCCTATTTATATCAGTTAGAGCCTGTTGGTTGATTGTGTTGTTCACATCTTCTAATTGCTGGTTTTCTGTCTAGACTTCTGTTTGTTGCTGAGGAGATATCGCAGTGCCCAGGTGTAACCGTGCATTTGTCTCTTTCTCTCTTCAACTTCATAATTGTGAGGCTCTGTCGTTTGCTGTGTACACATTTAGGAGAGTTCAGTTTTCCTGGTCGAATAATCCTTTTATCATTATAATGTCCCTCTCTGTCTCTAATAATTTTGTTATGACGACTACTTTATCTGAGATGTGTGTCTGTGTGTATTGACACGCCTTTTTTTTCTTTTGTAAGTCAATATTTACAAGATGTATCTTTTTTTCTCCTTTTACTTCTGACCTATATAGTTGAATTTGAAGTGAGTTTCTTGTAAACATCATATAATTGGGTCATTTGTTTTTTTAATCCACTCTGCCAGACTTTGCCTTTTAATTGGCATATTTAGGCCATTTACATTTAAGGTCATTATTGGTATGTTAGGGCTTAAGTCTGCCATTTTATTATTTGTTTTCTATTTGTTTCCTGTTTCTCTTTTTCTGTCTTTCCTGTGGGTTACTTAAACATTTTTTGGGATTCTGTCTTGGTTTATTTATAGCCGTGAGTGTATTGCCCTGTGTAGTTTCTGAGTGGTTTCTCTGGATTTTACCATACAAATGTGTGGCATTCTGGTGTCAGTGTTACCACTTTGAATGAAGTGTGGGAACCTTTCTTCCGTTTAGGTCCCTTAACTCTCACTTATTGAATATCAGATGGCATTATGATTTTTTTTTTTTTTTTTTGGCTGAGGAAGACTGGCCCTGGGCTGACATCTGCGCCCATCTTCCTCCACTTTATATGGAACGCCGCCACAGCGTGGCTTGACAAGTGGTGCGTTGCTGCGTGCCTGGGATCCGAACCTGTGAACCCCGGGCCGCCGCAGCGGAGCGCAAGCACTTAACCGCTTGCGCCACCGGGCCAGCCCCTCACTTTTATTTTTTGACCATTTGTTTGAGCAGGATCTAAGTAATGTCCATAGATTTCATTTAGATCGATATATATCTTTGAAATCTCTTTTATCTTTAGGTCTCCTGTCTTTTTCTTTTTTTCTCCTTTTCCTTAACAATTTATTTGTGGAGGAGGCAGATTCTACACAACCAGGCCTCCTCCACAAATAAATTGTTTGCTGTCTGCATCCTCCTGGTGTGATTTCCTGACTTCCTCTGTCCCCGGGTTTTCTATGAACCGGCAGGTGGATCTGCACCTGCGCTGTCTCGTTCCACAGCCACGTGTGCTGCTGGGGTCTTGACATGTGCCCAGTACATGTTGAGACGTGCAGGGAAGAATACACACCAGATTTCGAAGACTTAGTGCCGAAAAGGAACGCGAGATAGCTCATTCACAATTCCTTAATATTCATTACATGCTGAAATAATATTTTGGGTACAGTGGGTTACATAAAATATTCAAATCGATTCCGTCTGTTTCTGCTTTTTGAACACGGTTACTAGAGAACATAGAATTACACATGTGGTGCGTGTTTGTGGCTCGCATTCGATTTCCACCAAACGTTGCCGCCGTAGATGTCGGATTGATCCCTGGGCGTCATTTTAACTTAAAGGAGCTTTTGTGTTTTTTTTTTTTTTTTTAAAGATTTTATTTATTCATCTTTTTTCCCCCCAAAGCCCCAGTAGATAGTTGTATGTCATAGGTTCGCATCCTTCTAGTTGCTGTACGTGGGACTCGGCCTCGGGTTGGACGGAGAAGTGGTGCCTTGGGGTGTGCCCGGGATCCGAACCCGGGCCGCCAGCATCAGAGCGCGCGCACTTAACCGCTAAGCCACGGAGCCAGCCCCAGCTTTTGTGTTTTGATGTAGGCAAATTGAATTCACCTTTATGGTTTCGGCACGTGGGGTCTTGTTTCGTCGGCCTTGCTGCCCAAAGGTTAGATCTTATTCTCTGCAGTGTGTCGCGTAACGGAACTCTGGTTTATATCCTGTTTTCATCTTGTTTCTGGTTTAGCAGGACTTGAGTTGGCAAAGGGGGTAAAGCACAGGGCCCGGAGAAGCCTCTTATCTGGTGTAATTAGGACCAGAGGTGTTCACGTGCTCTGAGAACGTGTTAGGTGGCAAAGTCCCCTCTGAGACACCGGGTGGGGCCGGCCTTCCGGAACGTTCTAACGGCTCGTCTCTCACAGGGATAATTCTCTCAACGACTGTCGGATCATCTTCGTGGACGAAGTTTTCAAGATCGAGCGCCCGGGCGAGGGGAGCCCCGTGGTCGACAACCCGCTGAGAAGTGAGTTCTGATTCTGCCCGTTGGGGTCCCCCACGTCGGGCGTGGGGGGTCTCCTGCCCCGTCTCTGCTGGGCCGGCCCCGCCCAAGCTGACCCCGGCCCCCCATGTCCAGGGAAGAGTGGGCCCTCCTGTAAGCACTGCAAGGACGATGAGAGCAAGACGTGCCGGGTGTGCGCCTGTCACCTGTGCGGGGGCAAGCAGGACCCCGATAAGCAGCTCCTGTGTGACGAGTGCGACATGGCCTTCCACATATACTGCCTCTGCCCGCCCCTCAGCAGCATCCCCAAGGAGGACGAGTGGTGAGTGGACGCCCCGGAGACGGGCTCGGGTCAGGGGCCGCGTGGCGCCAAGAAAGGAGGCTGACACAAGGGCAGTAACACAAGTGGGACGAGGGAGCCTTCCTGTGCCCACGTGTGGCCCAGGCCTCAGGTGACCACAGGGAAGGGGACTGGGCAGGTCAGAAGGGAGAGCCAGGCGTCCCTGCGTCCCCAAAGAGCATCCTCTTGGCCACGACACTCTTGGCGCTCGTACCGGTAACCGCCAACGTGGATAAGGAAGGTCGTGATGCGCTCGGCTCTGGTCTGAGGACCCTGACCTGCTAACAGAGTTGTCACGACAACTCAGAGGTGGCTACTGTTCACGCCCGCCTTGTGGAGATGGGGAAACTGAGTCACGGCAGTGAGAAGGTGCCCACACCCCAGCCGGGTTCACCCCCATGGTTGGGAGGCGCCGTGACATTCCCAGTGGGAGACGGGGCAACGTCTGCTGTCCAGTAGACTGTTCTGTGACGGTGGACGTGTTCTCGCTCTGCGCTGTCCACTGTGGTCGCCACTCGCCACACGTCACCACGGGGCACTTGGACGTGGCACGTATGACGAGGAACTGGATTTCTTATTTAATTTTAATGAATTTATGGGGCCGGCCCGGTGGCGTAGTGGTTAAGTGCGTGCTCTCTGCTGTGGCGGCCCGGAGTTCGCAGGTTCGGATCCCTGGGCGTGGACCAATGCACTGCTCATCAAGCCATGCTGCGGCGGCATCCCATATAAAGTAGAGGAAGATGGGCACAGAAGTTAGCCCAGGG